GGCGAGGGGGGGGTGGCCCCTTCTACGGGACACAGAAGCGATCTGGCGACAGGTAAGTTACCAGAATTGCTTCTGTTGTAAAGCCGACAGTCGGCTTTACAAGTTTAAACAGATTCCCGGCGGCGATAGCCGCCGCGAGTCTGTTTAAACAGCCCCGATGCTGGCGACGTACACTGTACGTAGTCAGTCACGAAGGGGTTAAAAAAATATGTGCTTGATAAACCTTAATTGTAAGTCCATCTGCGCTTACAGTTCCCTCTTTGTAATCCCATGAAGCCCCACATATACCTGTTAATCCTGCCAGTGAGGTCCACTGGCAGCTTCCTGTGACGGAGTGACAATAATGCTGCACTGCTCCTGAATTCAAAGCAGAGTTGTCGCTCTTGTGTAGGCTGTGCCTGCTTGCACTGCTGTAAGAGGAGAAGATGTTGCAGGGGACCTGGCTATTACCATTGTCACTGCTGTAGCTGGTCAATCAGCACCTGGGCACACTTAGTCCCGCCCACTGCTTTTCAGATTGACAGGACTGACTGTGTAGCTGAACCCTCCCACTGTGAGCTGCAGTGTCTGGGAGGGGGAGCGGGTGAGACACAAATGAAGGAGGATTTGGCTCGGTCAGGGGAGGTCAAGGAAGTTTTTTGTTGACTCTTCCTGGCATATACATGATATAATAACTAGATTTTGGGACTTGTTTAGACTGTCATATAGAACCTTTATTTGTTCTTTAATGAAGTGGTGCCGTTGTCTGTAGTTTTCTACCGGCAGGCCAGGATTAGATGATGTCCAATCACAGGGTGGGGTGGGGGGGTCTTTGAGGCCCTGCGTCCAATGGAAGTGGCGGGTTATATGGCGCTGGGCGGCCGAGCAAGGAGCCTGCCGGGACAGCACCAGAGACAGGAAGTTGTGCCAGCCAGAGCTGCTTTTTTATTTTTCATGGTGCTGAGTAAATGAATTTCCTAATTTTTATCTAAAGCTGGAGTTGTGCTTTAAACCTCACTCGCGCATCAAATGGTGCTGCGGGGGAAAGGAAGTGCGCGCCCCCTTTTCACACGCACCTGCACAAGGCCTCCTACGGTCACCATTATCCGGGTCCTACGCCGTCCAATCAAATCCCATTCTCACTTGTACCGTGGCTTTGTAAGTAATGCTCTCGGTGACCCCCTCATCTTCAGCATATGAAGAGGTTTTACATCCTCCCTCGTTCCATACATCAGCGCAGCAGCCGGTATGCTTCGAGTTTCCATAGCGATGGCTGCAGTCTAAGAATTCTCTCTGTCTTCATTTGGATGTTTATTATTTCATTAATTCCTTCGATTGGTCAAAAGAAAAGCTTCCTGTTGGCAGAACTCATCTTCTTAAAGGGGAACTGTAGGAGCGGGGCAAAGCTCACGTTTTGTTTTTGTTTGGCGCGCTCTGTTGGGAAGGAGAAACGGTGCTGCATGTTCCTGCGTTAGCATTAGACTTGTCAGGTGGATCCATGATCAGGCCCGGATTACCCACAAGGCCACCGAGGCCCGGCCTCGGGGCGGCAGGGCGCATGGGGGCGGCAGTGGTGTCCTTGTG